TAATTGGCCAAGGAGCTATGGGGTGATGTGTTAGGCCAATAGCCAAAGGCCATGTGACGGTCATTCATGCCCTAAGTAGGATCACTAACCTATGCCTTAAGTACTAGAAAAGGACAAAAGGACATTTACCCAAAAAAAGAATAAAAAAAGAAGAGGACAAAGGAGCACTGCTGATTTGGTACTGTACTGAAGAAGCGAAAATGTTGAGGAGGATCCATGGCAAGCTGTCATAGGGGCGGTGACAAGGTTTGATTCTAGGTGCGCATGCACTGGGAGGCAGCTGCCTCAGTTTAAAGGAATCTAATCTTATCGCTCTGAAATAAACAATTTCCTGTCAAAGGCTCAGATTGAGAGGTAAAGAATATTGTGGTGTGGTTAAACCTTGTCACCCGGTGCATAGGCACCTAGAATCAAACCTTGTCACCGCATGCACCTATGACAGCTTGCTGTAGTTGCTGAGTATCCTCAAGGTCCTGCTTCAAGTCGGTCTTGCTCCAAATGGTCCTGCAAAATCCCGAGGTTGGTCCTCGGGGAGAAACTCCGATGCTTAAGTCAGTATTTTTTCCAGATTAACCTTCCTTTCTTTCTTTTTTTGCCTATTTATCGGGTCTTACCTTGTAGGCCTTGTTCCACTTGGCAAGACACCCACGTGGCTCGCCCATACCCACGTGGCCTAGTCAATCCAATAATGGTGACATGGTGCGCCTGACGGAGTAGACATTTTAGGTGAGTGTAACGTGCCCTAACGGAGCAACCGCATTAAATGCGCGTGGTGCGCTCTGGCGGAAGGGTGTTCTGGTACAGACAAACGATCAGATAGGCACTGGTACAGACAAACGATCAGATAGGGGCGTGCCTATTGTGGTTGTTATGCACCCACGACGAAGTGCCGAGGTGCGGTTAGCTCTGAACTCCGCAGCCGAGGTGTGGCGAGCTCAGAGCTCTGCACCTTGTCTTGTCTCGTGGCTACCCTTACACTATTCCCCCCCCGAAGTCATTCACTTGTGAATGATAGGAGGGAAGATGGGAAGGGTGACAAATAAGAGTGGGGTTGAGTGGTGTGGTTGATAGAGTAGAATAACGGGGTGGCTGAAGCCGAGGTGAAATAGGTGACACGTGGTCACTGAGGCCGTAGCCGAGATGAAATAGGTGACGCGTGGTCATAGATGACGCGTGGTCACTGAGGCCGTAGCCGAGATGAAATAGGTGACGCGTGGTCATAGATGACGCGTGGTCACTGAGGCCGTAGCCGAGGTGAAATAGGTGACGCGTGGTCATAGATGACGCGTGGTC